ACACACACACACACACACACACATGTGCACACATATACATACACACATACAGAGACAAGGACCTTCCCTAGAGCCAACAAAGAAAGAAAAGCTTCCCCTAGAGCTGACACCCTGACTTTAGTTTTGTCATTGTTTTTAAGTGCCGGCGAGTCAGTTCCAACCCATAACGACCCTGTATAGTGTTTCCTAAGAGCAGCTGACCCTGCAGTTTAAACTGACATTGCAAGGCAGCACATTAACTCACAGTACCACACCGGGACTCTGTTTCAGATTTATAACCCCATAAATTGTTAGAAAATCCATTTTTGTTTGTTAAAGCCTTGTACATGTAGTATTTCCATTGTAGCAGCACAAGATAACTAAGGTAGAATTTGTTACCAGAAGAATAGACTGCTGCTCTAATAGATACCTAAAATGTGGAAGGGGTTTTAAGATTGAGTAATGGGCAGAAACTGAAAGAGGTTTAAAGTGATTAATAGTAAAAGCCTAAATTTCCTGGAAGGGATTATTGGTGGACAGAGATGGAGGCAGAGATGATGATATGGAGAGAGAGAGCAGCGGAGGACTCCAGACTCACGGAAAGAGAAAGACTATGCGCTGGTGGTCAGGGTCAGGCTTGCAGAATGTGCCCTTAGGTTATTGAAATGATTATGTATTCCTGTGTGTTTTTGTGTACATCCAAACAACAACAACAAACAAACCAAACAGGGAACAGAAGCAAATACTGTTTAAAGATGGTGCATGGAGGGGATTGTAATTGGAATGAACAAAATACGATAGGATGAATGTAAAACCAATGTTCTCCCATGTTAACTATCACTCAATTTACAATCAAGCTTAAAAACAGAGAGAGCTTATTGGTGGAATTATAGGCATAAAAGGCAATGCTTATGGGAACTCAGAAATAAATGAGGAGAGCTGGGACGCCAGAGACCAAAGACGGTGAGAAGCAGCAATAGATCTAGGAGATCAATGCCAGACTGTGCAGGTGCTTACCTGCAGAGCCATCAGGTAGGAGCCTCTGGTCACCTGTCAGCAGAGTTAGACTTTCTATTCCACAGAACCAGAGAGCTGAGCACCTTTGGGATGAGCCTTGCTGGTGGAGTGGGTGCCTCTATATCTTTATTGGTAGAGCTAAAGAGCTTTGTAGTGCGTTCTCTAGCAGGGCAGAGATGGTCAGGTCTAAGAAGCCTTAGGGGTCAAGGAATTGAGAGGCCAAAGAATCTGGAAACATAAGCTGAAGAGACAAGGAGGCTGGAAAGCAGAGCTGAATCGGTCTCAAAGGTTAGGGTCAGGACTTCTGGGTCTAACAGTGTGGTGTTAACGGTCTCTGGAGCTTCAATGGATGAAGACAGAGCTTTTTATGTTTTAAAGAGTCAAACCTTCACCAACTCAGTTCCAGAGTGTGCAGCTGCCTTTCAAAAGTGCCGGGAGGATGGGGTCAGATCTGCTGCTCAGAACGGAGGGAACTGTGTTGCCATGTCCAAATTGCAGAAGAATGGAGTCTGTCACAGCTGACCAAGTGTGGTTGCCACTCATTTCAGCTAGGGGAATAGGGTCACCAAAAGTTTAGGGAGCACAGTTGTCATCCCAGTGGACCTGGGAGGTGGAGCTGAAACCCAAGGTCTAAGGATCCAGAGATCATGACCAAAACCTAGAGTCTGAAGGGGGAGATCATTGCCTTGTCCTTTTTTCTTGAAGAACAAATGATTATTGTCAAGTCTTGAGAGCTAATGCAGATTGTTAAGCTGGGATTTTTTTGTTTTGTTTTGTTTTGTTTTGTTTTGTTTTGCTTGCTTGCTTGGTGTCCAGTATTCCTTTATTCTTTCCAGTTTCTTCCATTTGTAATAGAAACGTTTACTTTGTGCCTGGTATACCATTGCACTTTGCAATGTTCTGGGTCCCATAATGTCTAAGTCAAGATGTTGGCAGGTCAGTTTCCTTCCTAGGAATCTCAGGATGGAAATTCACCTGCCGACACCAAAGTCATTGGCAGAATCCCCCTCATTGGTGACCCCCAAAGTACATCCCTAATCTAGCAGTGGCAGTCTGAGTCGTTTTCTTGTTTGAATCTATCTGATTTGAATTTCTACCTGACTCTAGCGGGAAGAATTTCTGTAATTAAGGTCTGAAATGATTCAAGTGAACACTCCCAGACAATCTAGGATAACTCCTCCTCTTTAGGCCCATAGGCTTAATTCCATCTACAAAATGTTTGTCACATTGTGTGACTTCAGAGGGACATGATCATCTGGTAACTTGTAATCCAGATTCACAGATGAAGAGGTGAAGAGGAATTTGGCTCCAGGACGGAATTTGGACTTGGAATTAAGACTTTGGGAGTGGTTTGATGGGATGAACATGTTTTACATGTGGCAAGGACATGAATTTGGAGAGGACAAAGATGGAATGTCATGGATTGAATTCTGCCCCTACCCCCGGATATGCCATCTTGTTTGGACCATGTAGCTCAGTGTAATTTGTAATTATGTAATTTGGTGGTTATTTAATGGTATAGTCACCCCCCATGATATGATCTGATGAGGTCAACCAGTGAGTTGTAAGGGGTTAGAGTGGATGTAACATCCTTACTCTGGCCACAGCCTTGCTCTGATGTAGGGGAATTGACCTCAAGTGTGATCTAAATCATCTTTTGTCTTACCAGAGGTAGAAGTAGGGAGAAGAGAGCAGAGAAGGAGGGGCCATCTACCACCACGAAATAAGAACTGGGAGTGAGTTGAATCCTTTTGACCCAGGGTCTCTGTGCTGAGAATTTCATACACTTAGGGGAAGATTGGTGCTGAGAAACAGAGATCTCCAAGGAAACACAGGTCCACAGATGTTAAAAGGAACAAAGAATTTATCCCAGAGCCGACAGAGAAAGAAAGACTTCCTCTGAATTTGGATTTCCAGACTCCTAAATTTGGATTTCTAGCCTTCTAAACTTTTAGAAAATAAAATATTGTTACAGTCATGCCCTTGTGATATTTATGTTATAGTGGCACCAGATAACTAAGAATGGGCTTTGGGAAAGCAGGAAGCTCTCACAATGAGTGTACCCAGGTACTAAATGCTGCACAGAATTGCACTGTTAATGTGCTCTGTGTAATGAGAGCAACAACCCTAAAAAGTAGACATTGTCATTAGCCCATTTTGCTGACAGATAAATTGAGACACAGAGTGTAAGTAACTTGTCCAAGGCCTCAAGGCTGAGATTTGACAAGGAGTATTGGCTCATACTCCTTGCTCCAAGAGAGTGACAGTACCATGTAGGTGATAATATGAATGCTAGGAGCCCTGTGGACTAATGTGCCAGACTGCAAATCATTTGAATTACAAGGTCGGTAGTTCAAGCTCACCAGCCACTCCTTGGAGATTCTATACAGAATCTATTCAATGGCACTTAACAACAACAACAGAAGTCATTAGGTACTAGACAAACCTTTAGAATGTTGTTGTTGTTGTTGTTAAGTGCCGCCATCAAGTTGGTTCTAACTCATAGTGACCCTGTATTGAGTTTCTGACAAGCGGCTGATGAGCTTGAACCACCGACCTTGTGGTTCCAACCCAATTTGCAGTCCAGCGTGTTAACCCACAGCGCCACATCAGGACCACTACACATTTTTTAATGTAATTTAATGTTGAATTTTCAGTCTCTCAAATCTCTTTTCTATTAAGAGCATCTCCCTTTGTGCCAGGTTAGGGATAACACAATGCTTCTGTTTTTTGCCATTCATTCCCACAGATGCATATCCTAATTCTGAAGTCATTTACGTCTGGACCAATGATACCACAAAGTCTGTCGTGGTGGCTGAAGATGGCTCCAGACTGAACCAGTACCACCTGATGGGGCAGACGGTGGGCACCGAGAACATCAGTACCAGCACAGGTAAGAGGCCTGGAGAGTGAGGAGTTCAGGTGGGAGTTCTTGCAGGTAGGGGGCACAGGAGAGGGACCTGGTAGATAGGGGTACAGGTAAGGGATTGGATGAATGGAGCACAGGTGAGAGGCAGTGCTGCACAGGTGAGAGAAACCACTGGAAACAAGGTTGCAAATAGTGGCCATCTCTTCTTTCTAGCAGGTGGGGCCCAGGTGTTGTGCAGAGCCATCCAAAGAGGACCCTTTTGTGGAAGCACAGAGACCAGCTCAATGCAGTGAGGGGTATGGCTGAGACATTAGTCACCGTATGAGCAGCAAAGATGAGATAGGATTTGGTGACTCCAAGCCTGCCCAGAAGCCCATGACCTGCTTCTGTAACCCATACCTTTGCCTAGAACCCAGAATAGCACAGAGACACAGAGACAGAGGGTTTCTTCAGGAATCTAAGATTTCTTCCCACAATATACCTTTACTGTTGCCCCTCCATCAAGCTTGTCTTTCCCCTGCTCCTGGATCTAGATTGAGGGAAGAAAAACGATAGAGCAGCACAGAAGATCCCTGAGGTGCTCCACATTCTAGAAGCAGGCATACCCAGCCTGAGAGGTTGGCCTGAACCAGCTTAGAAATGAGGTCACACAGAAGAAGGCATATTCCACTTCCTGAGACAGAAGTCTTCACACATCTTCTGGTCCCAGGCAGGTCTTCTCTAAAGACCTCTAAACATCACCATGCATTGCCATGAGAAATATTGTAGGGTTAGGAGCAAAGAGCCTCATGAAGATACGGTGAGCCTCACTCGGGCCAAGCCATGAGACCTCAGAACCAACCCTGAGCACTCAGAAGGTGCCTTGGTGGCTCCTGGTCCCCGACCATCCCAAGAAGATGAGTAAACTCATCCTCGACCAATGGAGTCATCTTCAAGTGGCACACACGCATTTCTGACTGCAGTGTTAAATTGAGAGGAAGCGGGATGCAGGGCCGACTTCATGAAATGAAGAGGTGATAGGATTCAAGACATGAAAGGAGAGGAGTAACTGTAGACCCTAGTGTAAAGACTCAGAATGACATTCCTTTCCTTCAAGCAAAGTCGGACCTCATTAGTATACCAGCTCTTGATGTGGCGGCACTCCCTACTCTCTGTAGTTGTTTCTTTCCCCTAACATTGTGCTCCCCTCTCCTCAATCTGCTCTTAGGTAATAGAGGAAGCTTACAACATGGGTTACTGGACAATGGGACAATGGGCTCCATTCCTGTCCTTCCAGATAGCATGTGTGTCAGCTGTGTTATTAGCCCCAAATTAGAAAGAGTAAGAGAAAATCAGAGCACATTCTAACAACTGCCTAGACACTGAATCATCTGCTCCCCTAGTAGATCATTCCCCACCCAGGCCAGCCTTAAATGGATCCTCCCCCACCCCAGTCTGTGGTGGACACAGTCACAGTGTTGGACATGCTCCCTGGCTACCCCATTTACGCCTGGCAAAACCCAAAAAATTATGTCTTCACTCAGCATCACTCTGCCTGCACCCCCTGGTTTTCGACCATTACCCATCTCTTAGGGCCTTAAGAACTCCTTATCAGGTGAGACCACACTCATGCACCTTGCACCCACTCAGACTGCAGTCCAAACCTAACCCTTACCAGTTTCCCATCAGGACACATCATTGTCCACAATGAGCAGGAAATTCCCTCCCACCTCCCACATGGCCAGGCAGATCCAGAGAAGATCCTAGGGTTTCACCAAAGACATAGCCAAGCTTAGAAAACGAGAGTAGTGTTTGGTCTTCCTAGTGCGTGCCCAGCAAGTGACTTGCTAGATACTTGGGCTCCTGAGCGCAGGTTCTTCACCCAGGAGATGCTGGCTTCAGCCAGATAACTTACCCTCCTGGTCATGCTAGCTTCAGAGTCAAAAGGAAAATCTCCTCCAACTGCTGATCTCTGTGTGGTTCTAAGCTCCATATGTGGAGTCCTGGTGTGGCACTGTGGGTTAATGCACTGGACCACAAAGTCGATTTGAACCACAAGGTCAGTGGTTCAAGCTCACCAGCCGCTTCTCAGAAACCCGATCCAGGGTTGCTATGAGTCAGAATCGACTCCATGGCACTTAACAACAACAACAACAACAAGCTCTATATGTCAGGCTATATCAGGATTTCCAAGTACTTATTATAAAGTCCTGATTGGAGCAGCGGCAAGAGAGTAGCAATAGTAGACACAGATTGTAACTATGGACTAGCAAACTCCACAAATCTGATTTTTCCAGGGAAAGCATCAGTCCGCCAAGGCTCCTCTGAGGTCAACAGACATACTTTACAAAATGGTTAAAACTTCAGGTAGCCTTTTCTGTCTCCTTTTAATCCAAATAACACAGCTAAGAACCTTGCCTGCAACAGCAGGAGACACCGAGCTAGAGAAACCTTCTGACCTTGCAGGCAGGAGCCACTGGTTCTTCTGTTTCCCCAGAACTTTGGTGACTTTAGGTGACATGCAGACATGTGCTTGTTGGCAGGTGACTACACAATCATGACAGCACATTTTCACTTGAAGAGGAAGATTGGGTACTTTGTCATCCAGACCTACCTTCCCTGCATAATGACCGTGATCTTATCTCAGGTGTCCTTCTGGCTGAACCGGGAGTCAGTTCCTGCTAGGACAGTGTTTGGTGAGTGTCCCCAAGCCAGCTCAGGACCCTGATCCTGTCCCCAAAGCAACACCACTACCCACCACCAGTGCTGTCTTGGTCTGATGACCCCCAAAACAAATTTACCAATGATTCAGGATTTTACGCTAAAGATTAGGATTTAGGATTTTTCTCAGATTGAAGATTTAGGAAAAATGCATGATATATTTAAGAATCATTTCTATTTTGGAAATCCTTTCCTTGGTATTATTCTTTGTAGTTTGGCAATATAGGATAAGTACTTGACTGCTACCTGAAAAGTCAATGGTTCAAACCCACCAGCCACTCCTGGGAAACCCTATATAAAGCTGCTATGAGTTGAAACTGACTCATGACACTCAGTAACAACAGTAATAATCTAGAACATTATTTGGTGTTCCTAAGACAAGGAGTCCTGGTGTGGCGCTGTGGGCTAATGCATCAGACTGCAAAGTCATTGGAATTGCAAGGTCGGTGGTTCAAACTCACCATATGTTCCTTGGAAACCCTATATAGGGTCACTATGGGTTGGAATCAACTCAACAGCACTTAACAACAACAAGAAGACAATATGGCTGTGATACTGTAGGGTAAGCACTGGACAGCTAACTATAAAATCAGTGGTTCAAACCACCAGCCTCTCATTGGAAACCCTATACAGGGTCACCAAGAGTCAGAATTGACTTGAGGACAATCAACAACAACAAAAACAAGACAATACAATGATGTTTAGGAAGATCCAGTGTAGGAGGTGCCTTGGCCCAGCAAACAGCATCAGGTGTCCTGAATGTTACTTTGGGGCTCTGTTTCCTCAAATTCAAGGAGATACTGAAGATGAATTTGCAGGGTCAGTTGTGATAGTAGATGGTCATCATTTCAATGTATAAAGTACCATTTGCATACCAGCTCTTTTTTATTGTGCATACCAGCTCTTTTTTTATTGTGCTAAGAAGAAAATGTTAGCATGTACCTATTGTAATGAACTCAGAGCATATAGAAAGCCAACAAGTTGGGTCATGCACCAGCAGATGGTACAGGAGTGTATCTTACTGACTTGGTTTTCCTTTCAGGGAGATCTCAGGAAGTTTTGCGGTAGACTTGAGGTCAGGCAATGCTGCCCAAGTCAGCTTACCCCCTAATACTCTGTAAGTGGGGAAAAGCAAAAAATTAGATTGAATATTGCTGCATATTACCATCTGTTTCCTTTTGAACATTCTCAGTGTTAAGAGATCTAAGAAAACTCAAAAAAACCTATTTAATGTTATGATCAGAACTCTCTTTTCTCAACACAATGAGTAACAGGATTTTAAAGCAAATCAAAGATGACTATTGATTTCCCATCAAATAGTAAGCCTTGCACGGTGCCATGATCAGTGTGTAGATATAAAGACCTTTGAAAGCAGATATGGAAGGAGAACTCATAGCTCCTATGATCTCCAGCAATATTTTACTCTGAGGGTACATTGTACCCACATCCCACATAGTCACTCATGGACACCTGGAGACAGCATGACACCAGGAAAAAGGCAAGGTCCCGCTGGGATGCTTTAGGCCTTCAAGAGTCCAGAAGACCTGGTTCCTAATGTAGGTTCTCTTACTTAAGTATTATGGTTGTTGTTGTTAAGTGCCGTCGAGTCGATTCTGACCCATAGCAACCTTGCATAGGGTTTCCAAGAAGCAGCTGGTGAGCTTGAACCACTGACTTTGTAATTCAAACTACTATGCAGTCTGATGCATTAGCCCACAGCGCCATAGCTAAATTATGTTAAAGCTTCAGATTTCCCCTGAAAAATGAGCATAAGGATACCCACTGGAATGTGGTATGCCTTGGCCAGAGTCTGGCACACAACAGATAAATGGCATATAATACACCAGTTTAAAAGAATGTCCCTCTCCAGGGATTCGGCCATTGCTGAGTGGTCTCTACAAGATAACTTGGGGGTCCAAAGCTGATGCCATAAAGTCTGACAGAGCTAGCCCAAGCACACTCCACTCCCTTGTTGCAGAAATTAAGTGCCCAGATAGAGATTCAGACTCAGTGCTCCCACTGAACTGACTTGTGGGAGTTTGTAGACTTCATGCATGTGGAGGAGAGGCGGTCTCAGCCTCACTTCTGTAACACACACAGTGCATCTTTGTGAAGAACTTTCCTAGATGCTGTTGGAGTTTCATTTGATACTGCCCTAGTATCACCAGAAACCCCATTCACTCTCCAGGTCTTGTGTTGATCCCTAACTGATTGGGCGGTCAATCAAACCAGTCAGCAAGGCCAAGTCCTTCACAGAGACGCACTTTATCCCTAACTGTTTGATTGGACCTGTTTGATTGGCTATGTGGAAATCAGACCCAAATCCCTGCCCTGCTAGGTTCTCATTTCAGAGCAAGGATACAGTCAACAAAATAAAGAACACAAGTAAGCAGTGTGCTAATGTTATGAATGTGCTAAGTGTTAGGAAGTTAAAAAGAGTAGGAAGAAGTTCAGAGAGAATGTGTGTGGGAAGGAGAATTTAAAATGGGATTTGAGGAGGATTTATCTGAGCAAAGGGCATTTAAGTGATGATCTAGAGAAAATACAGGAGTGAAGACATCACATGGACATCAGAGATAGTCTCAAGGCAAAGGAAGCAGCCAATACACTTTGAGGAGCAACAAGGGAGCCAGGTAGAAGGAGCAGAGGAAGCAAGCGTGGAGATAGATGTAAGAAATGAGTTAGAGAGGTCGTGTGTGTGTGTGTGTGTGTGTGTGTGTGTGTGCGTGTGTGTGTGTATGTGTTTGTGTGTTGGGGGACCTAGGAGGTCATCATTGAGGCTTTTTTTCTTTTCTATGGAGGGTAGGAAGTCCTTGGTGGGTTTTGAAATGAGAAGAGGCGTGGTCTCACCTACATTTTAGCTGTTCACTCTTTCCAAGAATGGGCTGAAGAAGGGAGTCCAGTTGTGCTATTCCAAATGAGAGATGTTGATGGTGGTGGATATCAGTGCAGTGGGAAGTATTCCTATTCTGGGTCTGCTGTGCAGGTGTTCTGGGTATGACACCAGTGTTCAGTGGCTGGGTTAATTTGGAGTGTGAAGAAATTCTAAAATTGAGGATGAAGAATTGAGGATCACTCCATGCTTTTGGTCTAACCAACTGGAAGAGGAGTGTCCCAGAATGTTGAGGGGGGCACCTTTTAGACATGCTGAATGGGAGCTCTGGGTGAAGATGGATGGAAATCTAAGCTTAGAGAGAGAGATGCTCAGAAAGAAAGTAACAGTTTTGTTTTTTAAATGAGTTTATTATGTATTTAGTGGTTACGGATTGAGCTGGTAACCTCAAGGTCGACAATTTGAAACTACCAGCCATTCCGCGGGAGAAAGATGAGGCTTTCTGCTCCCATAAAGATTTACAGCCTCGGAAACCCTGTGCAGGGTCACTAAGAGTCGGAACCGACTCCACAATACTTAATAACAACAACAATCTTTCACTAATGTATTAGGGGTTCTCATCAGGGAGATTTAGGGTACCAATACTAACCCTTGTTTCATTTCCCTGCTTTGCTACCTTGTTACTGACTCCCATAGGGGTGACCACAGTGCTGACAATGACAACCCTCAGCATCAGTGCTCGGAACTCTCTGCCTAAAGTGGCTTATGCTACGGCCATGGACTGGTTCATAGCTGTGTGCTATGCCTTTGTGTTCTCCGCCTTGATTGAATTCGCCACCGTCAACTATTTTACAAAGAGAGGATGGGCCTGGGATGGCAAAAAAGCCTTGCAAGCAGCCAAGATCAAGGTATTTATCATATATATACATCTGATTAGTGAAACAGCCCTTATTATATGAGGGAGGCTTCAAAATTTTCCTGGAAAAAATTTCCATTAACCTTCAATTACACTTTGCATAAACTTTCCATGAACCCAGCGTTTTCTCCCCACCCCACCAGCTGAAATTATCCCCTCCCATATATTCAAGGGAGTCCTGGTGTGGTGCTGTGGGTTGATGCACAGGACTGCAAAGTTGTTTGAATCACAAGGTTGGTGGTTCAAGCTCACCAGCTGCTCCTCGGAAACCCTATGCAGGGTCACCATGGGTCAAAACCGACTAGACGGCACTTAACAACAACATATATTCAAGGAGTTCTGGTGTGGTGCTGTAGTATAAGCACTGGACTGCTAATCACAAGATCAGCAATTCAAACCTACCAGTCACTCTTTGGAAACCCTGTACAGCACTTAACAAAACTTAATAACAACAACAATATATTCAAAGTCCTTACACAGTAACAATATATTCAAAGTCCTTACACAGTAACAATGTATTCAAAGTCCTTACACAGTAACAATATATTCAGAGTCCTTACACAGTAACAATATATTCAGAGTCCTTACACAGTAACAATATATTCAGAGTCCTTACAC